TGAAATGACGAAACGTGCATTTTAATCATCTCCAGCCTTAATCACCACACGAGCCTTCCGTTATCTGAAGATTATGCGCCAGTCGGCTCGTCAAGGTAGGATGCACAAAGTCACCTTTATTATTCACAGTTTCATTGTAGACGCAAACAGTTTTATGTGCTTCCATTATAGTACCGTTACTTAGAAATAAGAATTTATTATATTTACATTTCACAAAGGTACTAAATGGTTAGGTTACGGAAAATCACGTACTTACCGTGCTGTATGATGTGTTTTTAGCATAGCACTAAACATACATAAATATTAAGCAATATCATCGGATTATTTTTGCTGGCATGTACAATTTTGTTTCCGTAATATGCAAGTGATATCGTTCCCAATATGGGTATATGCATAACTTGGTTCACGACCGTTCGCTGACCCCAAAATCAAAGGATGTTTGCGGGTATGATTTTTTGCAAATATGTCCATCACAGAGGCAGGCGTCCCGGATAACCCAACAATACACAAAAAAAAAATTGATGAATTATCAATAATTAATAAAACAAATATTTGTATTTATTAAATTAGTATGTCTGTTCAAGTACCTACATATTACCGACCAACTACTAAAGTACCATTGTTCCAACATTATACGTACACGCAATTATATTATATGTATATTAATAATTATTATAAGCTAATTATAAAACATGAAATATGATTCGGAGTCATAACTTATAATGTCCAATTAAAAATTTCCAAAATAATAAATACGACCAAGCAATAGGATGATGTGAAATAATTTATGTGCTTATGAATTCGATTATAACGAGTGAAATGTCACGTGATATTACTCTTAGGTCTAAACTCTAAATGGATCCCCGAAATTGATACCAATATATTAACTTTTACTCACATAAACCAACTACACCTATTTTATATTTTTTTTTAATTGGTCCAATAATGTGTGCAGTGCCGATAAATATAAAATCTATACATCTGGACTCTCGAGATGAATTATTTCATATACGGAAGCATCGTCGATACTTTTCGTAGATGGTATCAGTATATATTTAGTTACTTAATTTTGTACAATAAACATAGTAGTACAATACAAAGAGAGTATAGGAAATTTACCGAATAGCTGAATATAAAATTTAAAGTTTATCAAAAAATTTTTTTATTCTTTCAACATTAAAATGCAATCATTTTAAATCACCTATGTGAGTACAATACTACAGTATTATAAGATGTCGTCATTGGCAATAGATTTTTGTCAAAAATCGTCTTCATCTTAATATCTGCAGCCGTATAATCGTATGCGTCAAACACCTGCTGCAGCCCCAATGCACCTACATATGCATATAGTCTTGAGCGAAGTATTCGTATTGGGTAGTATATAATAATATGTAGCTGGCCACATATTATTATAGAATAAATTTTGCAAATGCTTAATATTATTTAATAGTATTCATTTATATACGAGTATACCATTAAATATATTAATGAATAATAGTAATAGATTTATAAAATATACAATACTTAGGTATGATCCATTAAAGTGGCATTTACAAAACATGAAAATATTGTATTTTTTGCCACTCTGTATACTATGCTGATCGAGGTTAACGGAGTCCGAGTGGAATTTTTACTCCCCCATGCCATCGCTCCGCGGGGCATACCAGTGTCACCTGCTTCACCTTCCAAAACAAGCAAGGACATGAGGTTGTAATAGGTAGTAACTGCAGCCAGTTAATAATTCTATGTGTGTAAGCAGTGTCGTAATAATATAATAATTATCACTTTTGGAGATTTTCAGCGAACGATTTGCGAGTAAAACAAACGACCGTTTTCGTTATTATCTGCGTTATTGTGTAAATATTTTACCCGGACGTAATGTTATTGTTAACCCGTTTAATGTATTATTAAATTAATATTGTTCTTAATAAGGGCACGTTCGTTGAGTTGAAAAAAAAAACGTTTAACGGGAGAAAGAAGGAATAAAAAATAAACCAAAAACCGTTTTCGACAATATAGTAGTTAACCTACCCCTCTGTTCGGTGTACTATACTGTGTATAGGTATATGATTATGTGATGTACCCCTATTTGCCGAGCCGTGTCGAAAATAATAGTAGTTGGCTTTCGCATTCGATGGCGCCCCGCCAAATTCCAATCGTTTCGGTCGCTGTTGTGTACGGACGTGTACAACTACTCCAGTGAGCTCCACCAAAATACCAACCACCAATATTATTTTATAATACAGAGACGATCACTTGCCCGCGGTCGTCGGCTATTATCAAACCGAAAACCACGATCGTGCTCCTATTATTATGGCGGTACGCCTCTACAGTATGCGATATTTATTATTATTACCTATAACGATTTCATAGGTACACCATTCCGGTCGTTTTGTAAATTGAAATAATTATTGTAAATCTAGAAAACAAGATAATAATAATAATATGTTTTAATGTTTCAATTTTCTCGTTATATATGCGATGTGGACACTATCAGCCGCCGTAGGTCGTAATAACTGTTTTAAATAATGACCCTGTAATGCGTGTTATCTATTTGATTATATTTTGTATGCTATACAACGCGATACAGCAGGATGTATAGTTTATCGTATTAATTTATTATTTTTATTATATTTTATTGACTACCACGGATATTCATTTATAATTCGTATGGACCAATAAATGAAGTTTATATTATTGGTGGCACATATCCGAAGATATCAATAATAAAATATAATACGTTCAAGACACTATTATATCTACAATATTTGACTTACAACTACGATTAAAAATAATCACTATTTGATAATATAGTTTATATAATAATAATGATTATTAAGAAAAATATAGATTATTTTGTATTATTAATACAAACGTCAATTCTTTCTCGATTTTTTGTCGTTAAATTAAATATTTGAATTTTAAATGTTCAAATGGCTATAATTTATTTGAAAGAAAAACATAAAGTGAGCTATAACCGGAAATCATTTTTATTAACTTATATTATGTTATATTTGTATAGAAGTATTCTTAATAATTCAATATTTGCTCTTTTAATTAAAACAGACGGTCTCGATAAAAAAAAACGTAAATAATATTTATGGGTTTCATTTGTGACATTTAATTAATACACTCGGTATGCTTTCATGTACTGTTTGTATTTTACTAATATTTAAATGAAATATCACGGCTTTAGAAATCGTTTCATAATATTTTTTGAACAATTATAACTCCCCAAGTTTCTGTAAATGTTTTATGCACAAAACACAGTGTAATTTTAATTTTTAACGATAAATAACGATATTTAATTTTCCATTGTCATCCATTCATTCCATTCGCATAATAATAATATACCGACAAAAGTCTTTCGGTCTTGCAGCAGTATATCTACAAATATTATATATTCGATGATGTTTTGCTGGAATTCGCAAAGCCGTCTGTGACGGCTCTTAAAAAAAATATATTATAAGTATACAAATTTACAAGTTCTCTCAGGAGTAGTCGGGAGAACAGTAGAAGACCCGATGGCTGAATAACGAAATTCACGAGATCCACTTCCGCCCTATTTGTGGCGAAACGAACCGCCGACGCCGTAGGGCAACACTACAGTATGATAATAATAATAATAATAATAATAATAATATACATCATTCGTCGAGATCGAATCGTACCGAGTTTTATATTTTGCGTTTTCTTAACGAGAGAACACACACAGTAATATTATTATTATTATTATTATTTTGTATTTATTACGGCGCCGATTCTAGTGACGGCGGCGGCCCTCGTCAGAAGTAAAACTCGGTATGGTATATAAACGAAAATAATATTAACTACCTAGCAGGGTATTACAATATTATAACGCACTCGGTGGCACGAGTGCTCTTTCCCAACCCCCCCCCCCCTAAATTTTCTATCCCTTGTACTTTGCTCGTTGACTACCTCCGTTAACCGTACAATAATAATAATATTAATATTATAATGTGCACACGGCGACGACCGCGGTGCGTGCGTTCCACTCGTTTAACCACGTTACGTATGGCACTGCGGCACGACGTATATAAAATACTACGTAATATAATAATACGCGCGCGGCGACGATAAAAATATAATATATAATATGAAGTATTATGACAAACGATAAAACAAGCGGCGATCGCTCGCGCTGATAGGCTGCACCGGGCGAAACGGAATAAAAAACCCAAAAAAATTAGTAAAAAAAAACCGGCTATTTGTTTTACGTTTTTTGATTTTGTCATAATAATATCGAGGGGACTCGCGCGACTCGTTGTTGCGGCTGTGTGTGCGTGTGTCTCGTACACAGTAATACGGGTAGGTACGCCGTGCGAGGCAGTGCGTGCGTGCGTGTGTGTGTTCGTGCAGCTGTTTGTGGGGGGTTGCAAAACGACGACGGTGGCGGCGGCGGCAGCGGTGGCGACAGGACGCTGCGCGGGGGTTGGGGGGAAGGACGAAAAAAATATAATATAAAAACAGGAGAAAAAGGGAAAACGTTTCCTGGCGGTTCGAGTCGACGGTCGCGCCACTGTCGAGCCCGGTCGACGGTCTCCGCGGGGAATAAAACGGCGTCGTTGGCGCGCGCGCTAGTGTAGTGCGCGCGGGCACCACACCGGCCCGGCGGCAGTCGTTAACGAGCATGTACCGCCCGACACGGTCAGTCCGCGTTCGCGCACCGCATCGAACAGTTCGTCGCCGTCGCGCCATGTACACGGCGTCCTCGCCACTGCTACCGTCGCAGCAGCCGTCGTCGTCGTCGAAACCGAAATTTTATATTAATCATAATAATAATAGTGATAACAACAGAAATAACGTTTTCGCCGTCAGATCGCCACTACTCTGACACCACTCTGTGCTCGATCTCTGACGACAAAAATTATAACACACCTTTAATATTTTTTTTTTATTGCGTGTTATAAAAAATTTTTTTTTGTGTTTTTTATATTTTATTTTTTTCTTTATTTTCTTTTTTTTTGTTTTTTTGTTATTTTTTTTTTATATTATATATTTTTTTTCAATCCTCCCTCGGATTTGTCATGGTCGTCGGCGCCGCACCGACCGTTTTCTAACGTATGCTTACGGTCGACGAGTGACCACCGCTACCGCCCCGCCGACGCCGCGAGTATGTGCGTGTTCTTCACTATTCTCATACTCGTACCGATGTGGCACTCGGTGTGCGGCCAATACCATCACATCAACGCGTCGTCCGGTCCGCAGTTCAACTATGACGCGCCGGACGACTGCGCGTGGAAGGTCCGCGACGGTCACGGCGACGAGGTGCTGCTGGCGTGCAAGCTCCGGACCATCAACAGCGAGATAGACACCACAAACTTCTCGGCCATACCGTCCGAGCACACCGTTTCGTTGCTCATATCGTGTGATCCTGCGATCACGGCCCTCAGCTCGATGGAGAACCAGAGTTTCGCCCACCTCGTGCGGCTCCGAGAGCTCGAGCTGGAAGCGTGCAAGTTGGCCCGGTGGCCGGCCGCCACTCTCGCCGGGCTCACAGACCTCCGAAACCTGACCGTCAGGACGGGCATGTCTGATTGGCCGGATGCCGGCATGACCGTCGAAGTAGCGGCTGGTAGTTTCGCGCACGCCGGCCGCCTGGAACGGTTGGATCTGAGCACCAACAACATGGTGGCGCTGCCCGAGAACGCGTTTTGTCAGCTACCCAACCTGGTTATTTTAAACCTGAGCAGGAACCGCATACAGGACGTTGCTGACTTGGGTTTCGGGGAACGCGCGCCACCGCCACCACCGCAGCCGCTAATCAGCGGCCGCGATGAAGTGTACGACGCAAACCCGTACTTGAAGAAGCCTTCGTCCAGTCAGTGTCCACTCGATGTTCAGTTCGTCGACGTATCGTGGAACCGCATTGCCGTAATGCCGTCCAACGGTTTCATCTCGTTGCGTAGGCTCACTGAGCTGCGACTCACCGGCAATGAGATATCAGTGGTCAACGATAAGCCGCTTGGTGGGCTTACGGGCCTAGAGATTCTTGACATATCTTGCAACAACATAATATCGTTGCCCGTCGACATGTTCAAGGACGTAGCCGATAGTATCAAGCAAATCCACTTGCAAGATAACTCAATCAGCGCTTTGCCATCAGGTCTGTTCGTTAACCTGTACCAGTTGACTTCACTAGACCTATCGTCAAATCTGCTCACCAGCACTTGGATAAACGCTGGTACGTTTACGGGTCTTATTAGGCTGGTTGCGTTGAACTTGTCGAATAACAAAATATCGAAGCTTGATCCAACGATATTCCACGATCTATACACGTTACAAATATTAAATTTAGGGGGTAATCTGATCGACTCAATACCAAACGATGCATTCATACCACTTCGGAACCTCGACACGTTAGTGCTGTCAAACAACAAAATTGTAGATATCAGCCCATTGGCTCTGAACGGCCTATACGCGCTGACTCTGCTTTCGTTGGATGGAAATAAACTAACAGACGTACACGAGGACTGCTTCAAGAATTGCACCACACTAAGGGAATTAAACCTAAGCGGGAACGTTTTAAAAACTGTTCCATTGGCTTTGAGAGAAATGAGAATGCTAAAAAATGTAGATCTTGGAGAGAACAATATCGATTCCATAGACCCAGATTCGTTTTACGGTATGTCAAACTTAAATGGTCTGAGATTGATGGGAAATCGGCTCCGCAATATAACTTCTAACCTATTCGACAATTTGGTTTCACTGCAAATATTAAGCGTTGCACACAATCAGATCGATTTTGTGGCTCCGGACGCATTTCAAAACATTTCGAGCATAGAAGCGATCAGGCTGGATGGTAATCGACTATCGTCGATAGAACATATAGTTCGCAACGTGTCCAGTTTGAGGTGGCTAAACGTTTCCGATAACGTCCTAAATGATTTTGATTACGGAATGTTACCGGAACGGCTAGAATGGCTTGCCATGCACAAAAACTATCTGACTGAATTGTCCAACAAAAACGGTGTCAATATCAAAATCCGTCAGCTGGACGTGAGGTACAACTATTTGACGTACATCAGCCCGGCCTCCATACCCGATAGTGTAGAAATACTACTTATGAACGACAACCAGATTATGACTGTGGAGACAGGTACTTTCTTGCGGAAGACCAACATTACCCGGGCCGATATGTACGCGAATCAGATCGGCCAGATGGATATGAATGCACTGCGCCTGGCACCCATCCACACGGATAGACCACTGCCGGAGTTCTACATCAGCGGAAATCCGTTCCAGTGTGACTGTAAAATGGAGTGGCTGCAGCGCATCAACCTGCTGTCTGCGATGCGCCAATACCCGACGGTGATGGATTTATCGTCAATTTATTGCAAGCTGCTGTACAACCGGGAGAACAAGTACGTACCACTGTCTGAAATCAATGCAGCGCAATTCGTATGCACTTACAAGACACACTGTTTCACCGTGTGCCAGTGCTGTGAGTTTGATGCGTGTGATTGCGAGATGACATGCCCAGCGAACTGCACGTGCTACCATGATCAGCCGTGGTCGTCCAATATTGTTGACTGTTACTCATCCAACTACACCCAGCTTCCAGCCAAAATTCCTATGGACGCCACAGAGGTCTATCTGGACGGGAATCTGTTTACCCACCTATCCAGCCATGCGCTACTGGGTCGTAAGAACCTGCGTATTCTGTTCGCTAACAACTCAGGCATCCGATCGGTGCGCAACGATACGTTTACGGGACTTAAGCGCCTGGCTGTACTGCACCTGGAGGACAATCAGATCGAAAGGTTCGACGGATCTGAGTTCAACACTGTGGAGAACCTCAGGGAACTTTACCTGCAGCACAATTACATTAGCTATATCAGCAACATGACGTTTGAACCACTTAAGAGCCTGCAGGTGCTGCGACTCGACCACAATAGACTGTACGATTACGACTCTTGGATGTTGTCCACCAATTTGCGTCTGGCCGAGCTGTACCTATCCAACAACCCGTGGTCATGTGACTGTGAGTTTGTCCAATCATTTCGACGGTACATGATAGCGGCTGGTGATAAAGTCGCAGACTCGGCCGCTGTCACGTGCCATGCCGATGGCAACAGGGACGTAAGTATTCGAGACCAAAATGCCACTGAATGTAGTTCATTTTTTGGTTCCATCGTAGAAAACCGTATCGTCAGGGACGTACTGCCTACGGCACTAACAGCTGTGTGTATAATTTTAGCTCTGGTGCTAATCTTGTACCTTGTAGTCGTGTACAGAGAAGAGTGTCGCGCTTGGGTTTACTATAAATGCGGATTCAGAATATGTCATAAAACCGTACCATTCGAAGATGACAGGATGTTCGACGCGTACGTCACGTACAGCCTGAAAGATGACGGTTTCGTTGCTCAGATGCTAGCCCCCGGGCTGGAACAGGGCAACCCGAGGTACAGGGTAGGCCTACATTATCGAGATTTTAATGTCAGCTCGTTTGTCGCTGATACTATTGTGGAAGCTATTGAGTCATCCAAGAGAACAATTTTGGTAGTTTCAAAAAATTTTGTAGAATCTGAATGGTGTCGATTTGAATTCAAATCGGCACTGCACGAGGGTCTCAAGGACAAAAAGGGACGGCTCATTGTGGTCGCACTCGGCGAAATTCAGCCAAAGGACGTCGATCCAGAACTTAGAGTTTACATGAAAAATTCTATACAAGTGAACTGGGGTGATCGAATGTTCTGGGAAAAATTAAAATTCGCTATGCCGGATGTCAGTAAGTGTCAAAGCTTGATGTCCCGGTCCAGAAACGGTGTAAATATTTATGCGACACCATTGAGAACGTCCTATTCATTCGGTAGCCAGCCACCAAGGACTGCTTCAGTGCAGTCGAGCAAGTATTACTTGTCACCAGCGTACGTGGATTCTTCGCAGCATCTTTGGGCGTGATTTGCCAAAGGTAATATTTGCAAATAATTTATTATTTTAAGTAATTTTAGTTTATCGTGCGCCACTGCATCCATGAAAACGTATTTATAATATAATAACAAAAATAAAGTATAATTATTTGCGTTAGTCATGTTGTGATACCGATAAGTTGAAAAATATCAAAATTATTCTTATGGGCTACATAGTTGTTGTAATTTTCATATGTGTTCTAAAACCATACAATCTATAATATGTAAAGAAAAAAATCGCAAATTAAGGTTCCAATGTAATTATATGAAACAGCAGTGTATTTTTAAGTTTTTGACACAGGTACTTGAAATCAACTAACAGATATCAGGGTATAAGTACCTCGTAATTATTGATTATTAGGACATTGTATAGATGTGTTAAATTTAAATTTAATGATAAACTATGTGTAAGATAAAATTAACATGAGTGACAACGATGTATTCACCTATTTTTCAATGGCTAGGTATTATACTTTATATTTATAATGCTATTAGTTATTTAATTTTCTGTAAGTAATACGAAAAGCTGAACACATTTACACAAAATACAAATAACATACCTATAATAATAGCGCGTAATTATAATTGCAATATTATTTCATATAATAATACTATTTAATATCACCGTACAGTAGAATTTTATGAATTGGTTCACGGTATAAATATCTTACAATTAATCTGAATATTTTGAAAATGCAGACTGTGTAATGTAAATTATTATTTATGGATTGTCGAAAAATCCCTATGAATAATATTTTTTGTATTACAACAAAATAGCTAAAATCATTATTTTTCTTTTAAATATAGAATCTTTCGAAGTTTCTCCAGTAAGAGGATACTCACTCCATGATTCACGTTATTTTTGTCTCTGTTTTTATATTTACGCACTATGTTTTATGTAAATAAATTGTGAAATAAATTTTAAATTCAAATTCAATTTGGTATTGTAAAAACTTAAACATAAAATATTTAAGAAAAAATGTACTTTTAACAATTTTGAGTTTGTTGTAAGAACCTACTAATTCCTAAAACTTTTCGTTCACGTTTTAGTATTACATATTTAAGCTTTTTGTTTCTGCACAAAAAAATGAATATTAAAATTTATGAAAAATAAATGTTAAAAGTTTTTACAATTAATATTTTTTGAATTATAAAAATAAAAAAACTGTTTGAGGCGAAACCATTATTTTACGTGTGAATATCAAATGTTGTCTTTATTTAAAGTTGAAACCATCATAAAAAATAGGTAATGTGGAATTAAGCTAACCTTGTTTTTTAATTTCCATAATAAAAACTTATTAGGAATCTTGTCTAATATTCGAGGTAAAATGATTAAAAATTGTATGAATTTTTAAATACATTATAATTTACGATTTTGAAGACATTCGTTAACTACAAACGCTCATGAAAAATTAATGTGGATGTACTCTCAACTTTGTTTTTAATTCCAATAAGAACAACTTACGAGTATTAAATTTTCAAGTCTTTTGACCAAGCATAAGAATGTTTATCAACATGTAAACCAAAAATGGTCAAACATGTTAAATCTTTCAAAAAGATCCAAAATATTTCGTAAATTGTGTGCCATGTTAAGAAAATGTAAATATAAATACTGGATAAACATTTCCAGTACCTACGGTTATTCGTTTTTGAATCATTAAAAAATATCAAAATACATTTTGCTTTAATATAATTTACCTTTTTTTTTGTAATTTGTTTTCACGATTATTAAGAAAATAATATATACTGTGATATTTTTCCTTTTTATCACCTTCTAAATAAATTACTGACCTAATAAACATTTATACCATCAATCATCTTCGAAGCTTAAGATTAAGCATTTTCTACTATACAAAGTATCTTTATACAAAAAAAAAATAGTAAAAAAATACTCATCATCGTACCAATCTCTCCGCTTAGAATCTAAAACATGGGATTATCGCCTCAGGGACAATCCCGAGTTTTGTACCTACAGGTAATCACGTTTCGTCTGAACGATTCTCATTAGGTATCTCGTGTTCTTTGCTAGAGATGAAGGACTAACCTAAATTTATTAGACATGTACATAAGCTAGTTGACAGAATAGATTATCATCATCATAGGGTATAATAATAATTTTAATAATACTTATGCACAACACCAAATTGTTTTTCATATTATGTTCACTCCTGATTAAACCTGATTTAATTTTTTATTATTTTATAAAAGTAATTTTTTTTGTATGGCATGCCTATCAAAAATTATTTAATAATAATAATATACACAAAAGTACTCGAGGCGTTATATGTTTATATTAATTAAAAAATAAGTCGGTATTTACGTATAATATTCTGTCACTTGATCCACTTGCGTGTAAGAATTTGTCAGTCATAGAAGTAGAGCTTGTCGTAATGGCAGTAAAATGTAATTAATTGCTATAAACACTTGTATTATATATAGTACAATAATATACGTTATGATGATAAAAAAAAAATAATAAATTAATGTACATAAAATTATGTCAATTCCGAGTAGGCCCATTAGTCGATTATGTTAATGTTTAAACAATTGTAGTAATAATGTAGTGTAAAACACATGGGTAGAAATTAAATTAGTGACTCTTCTGTCTGAAAATGCCTTTCTATGAAGATCCTTTTAAAAAAAAAAAGTTATAATTTTCGTTAATTTGCATTTACCACTCCAAAAGGTCCCTTTGCTATTTGACACCCTCCAGCGAAACGTTTATCTACCTTTGTGAAGAAAAAAGCCCTTTATATCATTTTTTTTTTTTCATTAGGTACACTTTGTGTATATACTTAACGTGTGAATGGATGTTAACTTCAACTGTTTGGTCCTCTTGACATCGTCGTTTGTTTGCTTTTTTTCCTTAGTCACTAAAAATATGTTAAAATGCAATTTTACAATGTTTAAATCGGATTTTCAGCGGAATAATAAAAAATAATAATAAATACACACTCTTTTATTATCTATCTAGACGTCTACAAAGTATTTTTTAATTTGAAACTTGTAAACCAGTTGTAAAGTTTAATAATAACTATGCATTTAAAATACAGAAATAGCGTCTTGCTCGCCAGAATAACTAGTTTATTTTTCGCCTCAGGAGACCATTTAGAATAAAAAAAAAAAACTGTAAAATACAAAATGCCACAAATCCCATTATTTCTGTTCATTTTTTCTACATCATTAAATTTGTAAAATACAATGTCGGGCCCATTTCTTCTTTTATTTACGAAGATTTCATTAGCTCGTGTTTGAAGCGTGTAAGTCCTCGCGAAATATCATTTTTCTTTTTTTTCCCCTTTAAACGGTGTTTATATGTACTACTCTCGTTATTGTTATGTGTTTTTTACCTCCAAAATTAAAACATACCCTCAGTTTTGGCGTCTTTTCGCCCTAATACGTAACATCTGCTCGATAATGCTTCCCATCTGCCTCTACCGTGTACTCATATTCACCCCACATCAGGGTATCAGGGTGTGTGTGTGTGTGTGTGTGTGTGTGTGTGTGTGTGTATGTGTGTAAATGAGAAACCCAATCTCGACACCTTAGCCCATTCGATAATTAACCCTCTGATACGACTGAGCAAAAGGGAGACTTGCAGTTATGCGTTACACAAAATAATTTGAGCAAACTGAACGTTAATTTCGAAAATCGGAGCAGCTACACTACTAGCGATTATTCCTATACGCAGTGTGGTGTCCACTAACATATGTAATAAAAATATTTTTTCTTAGGTATTTAATGGTAAATATCAACGTCATTATTATACAACATTTTATTTAATATTTCGTTTATCTAATGAATTATAACAGTTTTCAAATATATTATAAACACTGTGAAGACATCATTATATATATTTAATAGTACATCTAACTAGACTACACATTCATTTCACGTAAAATATGTTATTATTTATTTTTATAAGATGTAAAAGCTTATTTAATAATCCTCCGTAGATTATGATCGAACCGTAAGGCTTTAATACATATACCTATAATAGGGATCAAATATTTTTTAACAAAATTATCATTTAATGTATGTTGTTTACTCAAACTTTTTATTCAACAATAAATAAATATTTACATTTCGTTTATTCAGGTCATAAAAATATATGTTTCAATTAGGTACTTATCTACACTTAATAATCATTAATCTAAAACGAGTTTTTCCTAAAAATAAATTTGAACTACCTATATACTATTTGAATACTATAATAAAAAATGAAATAAAAATCTTATCTTATTATTATATGACGTATGCAAATGCAGTGAATAAAAACTTACAGTGCAGAGGTACAATATAAGTAACTATTAATAAAATTCAATTTATTTTAATGAATTTTAATAACTATGTATCATAAAAGAGATCTCATAATTAATAAATCAAAATTTTAATCAGGTATATATTTTAACTCGGTAGGCTCATTAGGAGTGGACGTAAAATGGATTAATTGAGTTAGAAAAGTATTTTTTATTAGCTCGTTTGATTTAAAATTCAATAATGCTTTAACGCCATTATTCGTATATATATTAAATACGGCGAAATACAGTGTCAACAATTGCTGTTGTCCAAGTCGTACACATTGATCGATCGTCAAGAATTGGCGTCCAACGGATGAAAACAATTTTTAAACGGTTCACCAAACTTGTATATTTTATTTTATTACATGCCACTATAAGGGGTGTATAAAAGTTGACAAAGTTTAGTTCTTTTATGGAAAAAAACTACCTAAAAAAAAAATACTGTCCCAACAAGGGACTTAAAATGTAAAAAACGATCGGTATCGATTTAGCGATTTATATATATATATATAAATGTCCGGTCTGAGACACGTGCGTTTCGTTCGCGTATATAGTTCCGTTAACGTTTGTAAAATCGGCTTAACGTCCCAATGGACAAGAGCTGGGCACAATGCAACTGAATAAAACTTCCGTCAATGTAAAAGCCGATAAATCCTTAATAGGATTTTAATATGATAAAAATAACGAAAAAAAAGTATAGG